CGCCCCCCCCCGGCCCCGCAGACGGCCGCCCCGGGCGGCCCCGCTTCCCTCGTCCCCGGGAGAAGCCTCCCCGGGGAGGCGGCGGGAGCCCCCGGCGGGGCCGCCGCCGCCGCTCCGCGCTGCCCCTGACAGATGTTTGCTCTCCTCCCCTCCACCAGCTCGAGGCACTGGAAGCCGTTTTCGCTCAAACTCACTACCCCGATGTGTTCACTAGGGAAGAGCTGGCCATGAAAATCAACCTCACGGAAGCCAGGGTGCAGGTAAACATTCTGGGGAATTATTTAACTCTCGGGTATTCAAACTAGCAAACTTTTTTTTTTTTTGACATCATGACTGCAGAGTGCACATTTGGCCAAAGAACGCAAATGAAGACGATCTGTCATTTTCATGATGCACTTTAATAACATCAACATAATGTGGAATATTAGATTAGGTTGATTAATCGGTCATTCATAATTAACTAGTGATAATGTTCTACACTAATTTGTCCGCGTCTCCAAGGTACTAAATTACATCAATGCACATCCATTTCCTTGCTTTTGCAGGGGGGGGTGTGTGTAGAGAAAAGAGCTGAGACGTGATTCTCCAAAGCAGCTATGACCACTGTCAAGCAATGGGGTTAGTGAGCTGCAGGGAGCCCAGCTGCCAGGAAGAAATCTTCTGCATCTCCTCAACTTTTCTCTCTTTTGCCTACTTTCCAAACACTTAAATTAAGACAGCTGAAGAGACTGCAGACCAATTCCTACACATTTAAAATGATCTAATAAATGTCACTGGCCACAATAGCACTCTTCTCCCCTTTCTTTACCCGCTTTCCTTTCTTCCATCTTCTTCTTTCCCTTTTTTTTTTTTTTTGATCTAGGTGTTTGTTTTTCCACATCCAGCGATTAACTTTGTTTAAGTGTCTCCAAGCTGCTAAGAACAGGAGTCCTGCAGTTGTAAGAGACAGATCCATATAACTCTGCAGGCATCCACTGCTGATTTGCAAGCCATTTTTTGAATACAATTATGCATTCATTTTATTTATGGGTTTTTCTCCATGCCGCTTCTGTATTTTTTTTTTTATTTAGGTGCTCGGGGTTAAGACTATGCAAAGATCTAATTGTAGGAAATATAATAGCTTGCCTTTTGTTCCCTAGGGTCATGTTAGTATCTCTTAAAACCCAATGGCTGAAGAGAGATAATGGAATTCACCACAGTAAATTGGGGATTGTAAACAAATTATTTCTCCTATAATCAGATTATGCGATCCTGATTATTAAATCTGAACATGAATCATTGGTCATATGCGGGCAAATTAAACTGATTATTATTTGGAAATGAAAATCTCCTTTTGCCAGTGCATTGTAGGAACTGGCTTAAAAAAATAATAAAAAATGCCATTTTGGTTATTGGTGCCTAAAGACTGAACTGCAAATTGAGATAAATGGGACAATTATTGAGCATTCAGAAGTGGAAGATCATAACTTCTTCCTGAAAGGTGCAAGGGTGAGATAGGGGTGGTGACAATTAGATTGCTTAGGACTGGTGGTTAGCCTTGTTGTTGGCTATTATGCAAACAGACAATAGATGCAAGCATTTGTTTAGCCTGCTTTCATGCAGGGACATGGGGAAACACAGAGGATGGGAGATATGTTTACATTTATACCCCTTGCTCATTCAAATATGATTAATGTGCTATAAAGCAGAGTCTTAATCGAAGATGATGTTGTCAAACAATAACTAAATAGGGAAATAAACGACTTCATCATGCTCTTTCCTCAGAAGCAGGCGAACTGTCAGTGCAAAGTCATTAAAATATGATAATGAAAAATAGCTCAATTAAATGTTGTTATAGCTGTGACCTTCATTCAATTAAGACGCAAGAAAGTGTCTGCATTTTGCTTTGCATTTAACTGCTCTAAATTTAGAATATAGATAAAATCATTATTCAACGTTTGCTGATACATGCAATTAAAAGGCAGCTAACTAAAAATGGAGTTGTAGGAGGGGAATAATAATAATAACAACCTTGCCTGTATTTGAAGTCATGTATTAAAATGTGGATTTTCTGACCTCGAGGGAGGCTCAGCTCGGGTGCTTTCAGAGCATCAGGCCCAAGGTAAATGGCAAAAAAAAAAGTACTGGGACCAAAAGTCAGGGAATAAAATCAACATGGATATTTAAACTGTATAACAAGAAAAAATAAGTTTTGGAAAGTAACATCTATTAGACTGCAGAACGATCTTCCAAAATTAGTACCTACCCCTTCTTAAGTCATCTAAATGCAGGTTGGGCAAATATATCAAAGAGCAACTGCTAGTTTCAACCCTCACTAGCAAATGGGATGGCTAAGGTAACCTAATATATTCCTTTTCAGTTTTGATCTCTCTAATTCTAGCAGGAGCTTGTTTAAAGATATGCATATGATTTCTTCAGAGTACTTAGATAAACAGAAGGTCCCTATGCAGATCTTATACAGAAGGTACTTAAACATGTGTTAAAACATAGAAATGAGTGTTAAATGTATGCACAAAGGTAAGCATATGTTTAAATGTTTTGCTAACTGGTACAGTAACATCAAAGTTTTTTTTTTTCTCCTTAACTTGCTTTTTGGATGTCTTTAGACATCCCTGGCTTGGCTCAACCCGGAATAACAATGAGGACACGAAATATGTAACAGGAAAGTTTTAGCTAAGCTTCAAAATAACTGACTTCACAAGAGTGGCAACTTATGAACAGCTTCCCTGCTTCACGTTCAGCTAAACATGGTACTCAGCATTGATTGCTCTCCTGCTCCAGGTATGGTTCCAAAATCGAAGAGCGAAATGGAGGAAAACAGAGAGAGGTGCTTCTGACCAAGAGGGCTCTAAGGAAACAATGGCTGAGGTGGCACCTCCTGTGAGGAATTTAAATTCCCCTTCCCCAGCAGATCAAACCAGGAATAAAAAAGAGAGTCTGGAGATCCAGCAGAGGTAAGAGTAATACATGGATCAAGCACCTCTCTCTGAACGCAAGCATACATCCTATGTGTGTACATGCATAGAGACTTGCCTCATGCGAGGCTGTGACCTAGGCAGTATCATTTTCAGGTGTAGCTCAAATCATTAGAAGTATCTCTTTTGCAACTCATGGGCGAAAGTGCTCCCTGCAGGGATGTTGAGAAGCTGGTGGCTGTGGAAGGCCAATGTTATCCAAGCTTTGGTCCCATCGAGCCTATGATCACGACACAAACATGTATTTGTGTGCCCACACATGTACTGTCTTGAATCAGGTAGTTCTGGTTTTGTAAGCTGTTTTTTCTTCTCCTGCAGCCTGAGCCGAGCTGTTGGTCCTACTGGACCTTTCTTCCCCTCCTGCCTGCCAGGAACTCTTCTCAACACAGCCACCTATGCACAGGCTTTATCCCATGTCGCCTCTCTAAAAGGTAAGTGACTTTGTTTAACTTTAGTGATAAGCTGAAAGAGCATCTCTTTCAAGCTAAGGGTGCGCTCCCGGTTGCACCAGTGGAGAAGCCCGTAGGAAATGATGGATCCTTCCTTCTGTTGTGACTGATGGTAATCGCACTGGTTGTGCGATTTTGCAGATTCAGGAGTGAGTCTCCTGCTGTAAACTGTAGTGTGGTTTAGGGGCAAATCTCCTTCAGACAGTTAGGTTTAGTGAAATCAGGATTTGTTTCCAGGAATAAGGCAGGTAGGGTTTGGTCCTTTAAAGTTTACTTTGCATGTGCTTTTTTTCTTTTTAGAGTCAAATTTATACTAATAAATTAGTTATACACATCCTTTTGCATTATACATTACCTGGCACCGTTACTGATGCTTCATCCGCTCTTTGCATGCAGTTTCCTTTGCAGTATATCTCTGCACAATGCCAGACCTTTCTCCTCTTGAACAGCAGGGCTTCTCTGAGAACTCGAATGAAGCGTGTGCATGGGGACAGGGAGTATACAAAGCAGTCCCTCATTACCTGGACCCAGGCATCAAGAAGGGCACATCCAGTATCCATACCCTTTTGAGTTGCCAAAAGTTGCAGTAGTATGCATCTTTTAAAAATGAATCACCAGCTAATCCATTAGCTGTTCCTCATCTAACAATTTGTAAGTCTAAGGGTGTAAACAGGATGAATTCAATTTATAGATTTATAGGATGCAAAATCTCACATCACTGCCAAACACAAAGCGGCACACCTTTTTATTGAATGCCCCAATGTATTACGTATTTTGTGAGGAAAGTTTCCCAACGTTTAACGCCCTCCTTTATGAATGTAAAAGTATTTTCATATCTCTCACTATGTTCTCTGACATACCTCATACGCCTCACAAGTATTTCCAGTTAAATCAGCATGGCCAAAGCATATTCCTAAAGTAAATGTTTGGAACTGCTGAGTTTTTCATTAACTGCGGTGTCCTGTCCCCTTCCCTCCTGTCTTTCTGAAAGAGCAGAAGCCAAACATGTCATGTAATTAGTGCCATCCTGGTAGGTGTGGACTAGGGATTTTGAACCAAGAAAAGCCACAAAACTTAAAGGGTGGCTGTCTACCTGGACCCTGTAAGCGGGCAGTGGCTTTTGTACTGCACAAGTCCTCTTGATCTCTGCCCTGTGGCCATGAGGTCTTGGGGCAGAGACTTTCTGCTTGTTTCATGGGGCAGGAACAGCCTCTCTGGAGTAGATCCAGGTGAAATTTTTCAGATAAAGAGATCATTCAGGGATAAATGTGGTTTCAGAAAGGTTGAATGGTTTGGAAACAGGGTTGAGTTCTGTGAATAGTTTCAGAGGGAAGTAATAGCTATTTTTTTCTTAAAACATTACAGTTAAGCATTTTCAAAATGAAATACTTCAACACTTTATTCTCACTGGCTTCATTTTTCAATTTAGCCAAATTTTAAGGAAAATAATCCCAATAAGCCAAAGCCAAGCAAAATTCAATGATGTTTCATTTGGCCTGAAAAATCTATCATGAGGGTTTTTTAGTTTTATTTATTTGCATGACCTCCAGATATTTTTTTTGCTGTGATTTTGTAGCTCACCCCATGAATTGAAAAATTAATTATTTGCTCCTTTTTGCTTTAGAGACGTTTCACAGACTAAGGACAGGAGGAATCCTATTCCCAAATCTCTTGTAGAGATGCTCATTAGATAGTCAGCTGCACAGGCTAAAAGGTTGTGTCCTCGAAAAATTGGCCCCAAATGTAAATACTGATTTTTTAAAATTTGAATAGGTATCAGAGAAACCCATGGATGAATGTTCTCAGCTACACCTGCAATTCACTGCTGAGATGCCCAGTTTATACTTCCTGTCTGGCAGTAGAAAACTCTAGGTACATGCAAGGGGACTGGGATAACGTAGTACACCGCAATTTTAAGAACTCCAGTTAGGGATTTGCATATCTGCATATCCACCTACCAAGAGCTTTGTGGAGCTGCAACTGTCAGTCAGCATATTGCTATACTTGCAAGGGACTGGTAAACTGCACTGCTGCTTTGAGGGGAGATCGTTTTCTTCTGCAATTAGTTCCCAGGTGCGTCACATTTTGGCTTAGAGGCAAGAGGGAAGAATTCAACTGTTGTTCTGTAAGGTGACATATTTGATTTATGCAAACAGAGAAGAATTGTAGGATCTTTCTTGTCGCATTTACATGTGGAATATTGTCTCTCCTTTCCTTGGCTCACCTCCATAATTTCTTCTCCCTGTTTCTCCAAGACAATTCACCTGGGCTGGGGTAGGGGCAGGGCACAAGAGACCTTGAGCTTCAGCCTCATTAATTGGCAGTGATGAACAGGACTCTCGCTAAAGGTGTTGAGTGCACCAAAAGGATCACAGGCCTGATTCACTTTCTGTTTTGCTTCGGTATGGAAATATGAGTAAATGATGGTTCATCTAAACTAATGTGTATGAGAGCACAACCAAGCTCAGATGTCAGTCTGAAGGAAGAGAAAATGGTTGTAGGAAGGAAGAAATGGGCAGGACGAGACAGTGCTCACAAAACTTTAATATGATGATTTTCATCTTGCTAAATTCTTTTTGTTTGAATATATCTTCTTATTTCCTCCTTTGAGCTAGGAGATGATTCGTAACACTCTAGGCCAGTGGAAGGAGAACTAACCTTACATTTAGGTGGACATCAGTTTGTGTTCTCGTGTATCTTAATGAAGTGACCTAAACAGCTAATATGTCCCTTGAGAGTCCGGTCCCATTTTGCAACAGAAATGTGGCAAAACTCTGCCATACTGCTTCTGAGAGGATAGGTTTTTATGTCATGCAAAAAACTGTCAGACTCAACACAAGGCATAAAATTCTAGGGTGTGCGATTTTTGGGTTGGGAAGGAGAAATTCAATAAATATTAAGATTTTCCAAGGAAGAGCTGAGATACCTTTTGCAAATTTTATTGAAGAGTCGAATGACCTAAAACCCTTCCTGGTACCTGTCCCTTCCTGACCACACTTTGAAACTGCTGGGAATTCTTTGTGCCTTTGAAAGCAAAATAGTTGCTCCAGAATCAAGGCACCATTTCACTACCAATGGATGCATGACCCAGCTTTCTTCTATGCAAATTTCAAGTGAAATGCTGCTATAGAGACCATCTATGTGAATGCTGTAAATAGATATGTATTCCCACCATTAGGCAAGCGATCCTGGCCAGTGAAGTGAATTGTATGCTTCAGTAAGACGGTAAAAGCTGCCTGCAGACAAATGGACGCTCCCAGGGCATCAGATACCACTGAGAAGTTTAGGTTGTTTTCTTATTCTTTTCAGGAGACAGGATTTGCTTTGTTGAGCTTGTGAGCCAATGCTTTGTTCATGTCAGTGAATAATATTTGACTGATGCTTTAGAAGGAGACAACTAAAATCAATACAATAAATAACATGGTGATGTAACTAATTAACAATTATTTTATGCTCTTATAGGCCATTTTCATTGTGCTACTTGAGAATTCTCTGTCTTATGTAAACAAACCAATACTTCTTTTTCTCTGAGTTTGATTGTGTGGCTCCAGCCCCAGATGTCCGAGGCCATATAAAGTGTCTAAGGCACATGCTACCTGGATCTACTTTGTAGTACAAGGATATAATAAATTTACTTTCCCAGATGAAGTCAGCCTAGTAGAGACTCGGAACAGCCTGGTGTGGGAGAGTATCTGAAGCTTCGATTTTCTTTTGGAAAGACTCTGAAGTGCATTGTAAGCTTGCCTCATGCTTTTTGTGGCTCTGCAACTCTTTAAGATACAAGGCTGATCTGAGTTCTGCGTGTGCTACTTCCAGGTAAATGGGGAATATTGTTGGAGCGTGAGGCTAGGTCTGCACAGGTGACAGAGAAGCAAACTGTTCTCCCTAGGCAATATACCCTATGAACCTTGCTGTCTCTGAAACTGAGACTTTTTTTTCCCAAAGGGATGGCACTACTGCCATAGGATGCTCTATAAAGAAAATAGGCCATCTGTGCAATAGAGATCAGAACTGTAGTTCAGACCATAGACTGCTCCAGAGAAAAGTATATCACCAGTGAACAGTTTTTCTCTGTTTCTGCCCAATAGTCTCTCTTCAACAACACAACAGGTCTCTTCCTTCCCTTAGGTGAGTCCTCTCCCTCTCTAAAGTTTATCATATCAGAGGCTCTACTTAGTATCAAGCATCTCTTAACTACCATATTACCCCACTGCATACTGTTCTTTCAGGCAGCTCAGTTTGTCAGTTGAAAAATAACCATAAGATCATAACTTCTATGGGACGCAGGCCTTCCTACTGCAGGGTTTTCGTCCTCCACTACTGGCCATAGTCAGGAAAAAGTTTAACTCACATAGATGAAATTTCTGGTGTTTGTTACTGTTTGAAATTGTGCTAATTTGACAAGCATGCTACTTCATTGTGGTGACTTCGACATTTCCATGATCTTCCAAGATGAATCACTTACTGTAAACCATGCATCTGCAGTCCATTTAGTAGATTTAATTGCAGACCTCAAATATGAAGGGAAAATACTTGTTTTATTTATGGGCTGTATAACAATAGAGTCATCGGGAGAAGCTAGCGTTCTGTGCAGAGAGAGACCTCAAAGCTCTTCTTAATGGATGACAGCATGAATGCAATTCATTAATATAGAAACATTATTAATGGGTGTAAACAAGAATCTCCGGTTTTTAGCGGAAGTGTTCTACCATTCTGGTGGCTGAGGCCAAAAGTGTATCAGTTACATTCCTCTGAAATTTCCCCAGACCTCGTGATTCAAAGTGCAGTGTATGAGGATAGAAATAATTACACTTGCCAGGGAATTACTTTCATAATTCACTCGCAGCTCTGCTCTGTGCAAGTTATAGCTCAGTTGGTTTTCAAAGCAGCTACACACTACTGATAGAAAGGCAGGATTGCATTATGCACATCAAAGTGGATATTCCAGAGCCCCATTGATTAGGCTCTTTTATGGTTTGTTG